GGATATTTGTTGAAATTATTCTACCAGATGATCCTGGTGAATTTCACCAGGATTATGTAGGTGCTATACGAACATATCATCTGGTGAAAATTTCACCAGTTTCTGGTGAAATTTCACCAGGATGTTTTTAGAGTGTACCAGTTCAAGAATTTGAACCAAACTAAACGTGAGAAGTAGTTAAGTAATAAGAATGGACACCGCGTCAGTAAATCATCATTGGTGTTAAGTAATCATGTTTAATTAGTAATTTGGAATATTAATCCATATTAATGAAATATAGAAGGCATAAAACTATTATAAATGACTTTATTTACGCCGCCAACGACACATGAAAGTTTTAGAACCTTCTAAGAAAAAATGGCATTGAGCAATTGACACCCAGAACCTTGTATTTATCAACTTTGTGATTCCCTCGAATGGTCCTACGCCCATCATTAAAGTGAAGCAATTTGGTATTTATTATAGGCTGTGTCTCGACTATATTTAGTTAACAAAATAGTTGATATATATAATGAAATGTTAAATTGAAAATTTCAGGCAATAGCTTAGGCCTAGTTGAAAAGAATATTACGTTGTGAAAAGTACGGTAACGTATGTTAAACACACGGTAACGTATGTTATTGTTGATATAGCATGTAATAAACATCATAATAGCATCTCAACTGACCCACTTCTGTCAGAGCGGCGCTCAAAGCGAATTTCTGTAGACCAAGGAGGAAAGTTCTTTCCTCCATGTATAGATCAACACCGACCACACAGTCAGTGACATTTGTCAAGTGATGTTGCGTACTCTGTTGGACTGATCACATCCACACACACGAGGTACCCAATATTAATTGTACAGTAGTTGCATAGGCCTAGTTGCTGTATATAATATATATTGATGCCTACGTTTAATAATAGAGAAAATAGATTATGTTCTATTTTCTCTATAGTTTATTGAATGATGTTTGGCGAATACTGGCGTCCATTTGTGTTCCCATGTGATATGTGTGCAGGGAGTTGATAAATGTTTTTTCGTTCGTCGTCAGTTTCTTAGCTGGTAGGCTGCTATTTAACGAAGATAGGTCTTTCCGACAGAGCAAACGGCAATTAGGCCTACATGCATGTGCTGCCATTATCGTCATTACCACTTAATTTAACTATTAGGACTATGCAGCCTTTAAACTTTGAACTTGGTTCATTTCAAAGTAAAACTTGTTCAGTATTTTAAATTGTACAAAAACGGTAGTTCAACCGGGGCCTGGTCTAACGACACAGACGCGTTTGTCGCCCAAAACAATAGAAAAAATAACAAACGCGTTCAACAGCACAAACCCGTTTAGACACGTCTTGGACATATTCCGACTAGCTTATTAATATTCATGAGGCACGATAATTAGACGATCGCTTTCCCAGACGCGTTTGTAATACATGGTTTTCCCAGACGCGTTTCTGTCGTTGGGGATAATTTGTAGATCGCGCCTAAACTTATCCCACTTTTATAAACATAAAACAATGACATCATATAATCATCCTTTCGTCTATTGGAAAGGGCTAAAAAATATTTTGAGGGAAATCTTTTTTTTTTTTTAATTTAATGCGCGGGTCGGCGAGACATTAATTATCCGTGTTTTTAGCTTATTGATTTTATAAACAATCGACGTATGTGGGACATTATGAAACTTTTTTTTTCTTAGACCTACTGTATAACCAGAACGATTTTATTTTCTAGTTGCGTCGCTGAAATGATAAGACTACCATTAAAGTGTAGGGTAAAATATTATAATTATTTTCAAAAAAAAAAAAAAGCTTAATGTACAAATGTAAAAATGGTGCTGCGCCTTCCCGCCTATGTAATGATATAGAAATGGTTGTTGACCGACATGGATATTCTACGAGATACGCTCACTCGCTTAATGTTNNNNCAAATTGCTCTGTAATGAATAACTCTTTAAAAATCTCTGGAGCAAAAGTTTGGAACAAAATCCCAATCAGAATTCAAGAATGTCAATCTCTTAATTTATTCAATATTACTTATAAGAAACACTTTTTCTGATTATTACAATTCATTTCCTTTTATATTTTCTTGGTCTATACTTTTAACATTAATTCCCGGCCCCGTAATTTTGACTCATAAGTACCGGGATGGTGTCCGGCGGGGGGTAGTTTTTACCGTTGTTAGGTTTGTAGTTAAGATAAAAGTTGTGACAGCCCCGAAACATTGACTCAGAAATACCGGGATGGTGTCTGGTGGGGGATAGTTTCTACCATTTTTATCTATTTAAGTAATTGTAAAGTATTTGTCCTACGTGGTAATCCCCGAAACCTTGACTCAGAAATACCGAGTTGGTGTCCGGCGGGGGATAGTTTTTACCATATTGTAGTTAAGTTGTAGTTAAGCATAACCTTGAGCCGTAATTCCTGGCCCCGAAACCTTGACTCAGAAGTACCGGGTTGGTGTCCGGCGGGGGATAGTTTTCCACCAAAGTTTTAACTGTTGTTTATTTTGTTGTACTGTGCTGGTTACTTTTTGTGGTTTTTATTGTACTATGTGTTTGCAGGACCATATTGTAAAACAGCGGTAAAATCTCGCCTGTATATGTTATACTGCCTAAAGATGTTTTAAATAAAAATAAATAAAAAAATAAAGATATTTGACACATGTGCACAATGCGAAATTAATATGGGCATACCCATATTCAACTACCCAGGTCTTTAGCATGTGGGCCCCATGTAGATAAGTATCGGCATGCCCATATGTATTTTCCCAGATATTTGGCACATTGGCCCCATGCGGATTAAATATGGGCATTTCCATATTTATCTGCCCGGGTAATTATAGTATGGGGCACATGTACTTTAAATATGGGCATTCCCATATGTATTTGCCATATATTTGGCATATGAGCCCCATATGGGTAAAACATGGGCAATGCCCATATGTGATTGCCCAGACGGGTCCCATATTGGAAAAATGTGGTAGATTAATTTGGAGGGGGGGGGGGTCAGTGGCCCTTCACTGGAAAGTTTTTATTTTATGATACTCGGAAATGCCCTTTCCTGCCTCTGGCCAATGTGATGGGGGAGACTTAATCATAGATATTGACAAGGGCAAGGAATTTTAGATGAAATAATTTAATTATGCTAAATTTGCCAAAATTATGCCAGCATAATATATATGCTAGATGCTAAACGAGCCAAAAAGCATAATATGCTATGCACTATATATGTGAGGGAGGCCTATTGCAATGTCTAAGGTAGTAAGCCAGTCACTATGCAACTTACGTGCAGAAAAACACACTTGTAATGTTGGTGGCGCACTTCTCATCTTGTTCCCTGTGCACAAGATACAACAAAACGATTATTTTCCGTCGATTATCGGAAATTAAAAAAAATTATATAAATAAAAAATAAAGAAGAACAGAGGCGGCTTGAAAATCATGCAGGCCTGTACGCAGGATTTTTATTAGGTGGGTGTGAATTTGTAGAGATTGCACCAAAATTGGAGGGGCTACATAGCGGGAGGGATCCTGCTGGGATCTTGGGGGCAATGCTCAGGCATTTTTTTTTTAAATCTTATTTCAGGTCTTAGTTCTGAAGATGCATATATGGTTTTGACAGATGAGGATTTTCACAGATAGAGGAAATACCACCTCAGCCCCAACAACAGCGGAAGCGGGGGGAGGGGGCAAGGGAGCATTGGTCCACCCACTTTTTCTAATGGGGAGCCCCCCCCCCTCACTTTTGTGACTGTTCCCAACACCAGTGACAAACATTTTACGAGCGCAAAAGCCTCCCTGGGTCCTCTCTATTTCGACTTCCTGGACCCACCACAGTTAGGGTATCATCTCCGGGCTACATAGAAGGGTACTTTTTATCCATCGGAGGAAAAATGAAGTTGTCGTCGGGGAACCCATATCAAGGATAACCCGTATGATAAATAATTCATTGGGATCGTGGAAGCAATCTTGACTTCGACTTTGTTCGGAAATGTGACGCATTCAAGGGCAGAGGCTAAATTATTCATTATTTTTTTTAATGCAGATATAAGGCAAATTTTATTCAAATTTTAAGTCTGAAAGTGTAATTTCCCGCCATCTAGAGGTGCCATAATCACAAATTTTCTTACATCAGCCTGAGGTGGTATAGATCCTCCATCTGCTAAAGTACTTAGTGGCAAATTCAAGGGGAACCAGCCGGCCCGCCCCACGCCTAAATTGTTAAAAAAAAATGGAGATATAAAGATATTTATATTCAAATTTAATGTCTGGAAGTGCAT